TGTGTGTGTGTGTGTGTGTGTGTGTGTGTGTGTGTCTGTCCGTCCGTGTGTCCAGAGTGCTGTCTGTCTCCCTGGATCTGTCTCCCTGGATCCTATGTCCCTGTGTCACAGGCTATCCATCTCTGTCTCCTAAGTCTTCTCTCCAAGTCTCTGTCTCCATCTCTCTGTCTCTTTGCATCCCCATGTTTGTGGGTGTCTCTGTCTCTGTCTCTCCATTGCTCTCTCTCACACTCTCTGTATCTTTCTTTGTGTATCTGTCTGGGTGTCTCTTTCAAGCCTCAGATCTGCAGTTTTGAACCTCAGGGGGCCATCTCAGTCTCCCTTTTTGGCCTCAGTCCCCATGGGGCACCCCCTCTCCCCATCTCTCTCTGCCTCATTTCTCCTGCACCATCTGCCAGCTCTCCAGGCCCCCGCCTGCTCCCTGTGGGCTCTGCTGGGCCAGGCAGCCCCAGGCCAGGCGGGAAGGCTAACCTTCCAGCTTCCTCCCCTGCTGCATCCTGAGGGGGAGGGGCACTGCCTGGTCATTGCTGGGGGTGGGGGGCAACAGTCTGGAGACCCAGGATCAGGGGCAATGGAGAGAGAGAAACAGATAGACACACTGAGAGGAGGTGGGTAAAGAGGGGAAGCGAAAGGAGAAAGCTTCAAGATAAGCAAAAAGACTGATCCAGAGAATGGGAGAGAGCAAGAGAAAGAACAGAGGGGCACAATGGAACCAGAGGACAAAGCCAAGCAAAGGGAGCCTGGCAAAGAAGAGAGGAAGACAAACAAGCTGGGTGTGGGCTCGGAGATAAGGGGCAACGGGAGGCATGGAGCAGAGAAAGAGGGTGGCATGGAGAGAGATGGGCGACAGAAAGGGGCGTGGGGAGAGGCCCTCGGCTTCTCTGCCTGCAGTTTCCAGAGGCCCTGAGCTTGGGGATTGGAGAGGACCCCCTGAGGCCCTGCTGTCCCCTCCCCAGGCCCTGGAGACTGCAGAGGACCCCCGAAGGGCTGACCAGGCATCTCCCTCCCCAACCTCCCCGCCCATGTCCCACGCTGAGCTCCTCTTGGCCCTGTGTTCTCCCAGAAGACGGCAGGGTGGGTGAGGAGCCTACTCGGCTCCAGGCTCCTGTCTCAGTCATCTCTGCTCATCTCTTCTCTGGGCTGAGGTTCAGGCTCTCCCTCCCTGCACCCCTTCCCAACTGTACCCCAATGTCTCTATTCTCTCCTTTGTATGTCTTCTGTCTCTCCCTCTCTCCATCCCTGATTTCTCTCTGTCTCCCTCTGTATATTTGTTTCTGTCCCTTTCGATTTCTTTCTGTCTGTCTCTCGGTCTCCCCCATCTCTGTCTCTTCCGGTCTCTGGTTGTTCTTTTCCTGTCTCTCTCACCACCTTCTTTCCTCTTCCCTGCTTCCTTCTCCCTCCCAGTCTCTCCCTGCCCCTTTCCAGCCTCCCCCACCATCCCAGCCCTAGTGAGTGACCCCCAGGCTCTCCTGGGGCTGAGGAGAGACTCCCTCCCAACCCCAGCCTCTTCCTGAGGTGCTGGCCATCCAGACCCCTGTCCCTCTCCACTCCATGAAAAGAGCCTTTCCCAGGACCCAGAGGGCGCCAGGAATGTGGGGCAGAGAGCAGGGAGGCCAGATGGAGCCCAGGAAGCCAGGACCACCCCCCGCGTGTCACACCCCTCCCCCAGACTTGTCTCCTTCCAGCCTCTGGTGCTGGACAGCACGCCACCCTTTACTCCCTGCCCCTCCTGGCGCACTGGGCCTCAGCTTCTCCTCTGCAAAGTGGGAGACTCATCATCTCTGTCCCACTTATCTTACAGTCCCAAGGGAATATGTGCTCAGGAATGTCAACAGTATGATTGATGTGCGTGAATTGTTTGTATTACAAGGAGGTGAGGGCACCGGGAGCTGGGACTGGGTTTCTAAGTCTCCACCCCTCACATACAGATATTCCCCACATTTTAGGGCAAAGGAAGAGACTGGAGGTGGAAATTGTGGGAAGGTGTGTGATTCAATAGCGATCATGGCCATGAGACCGTGTGAGGCTGTAGGTTTGTGTGACTGTGGGATGGTATGTGGGCTCATGTGCCACAGTGTGCCTGTGTGACTGTGTGATGTGGCATTGTGGTGTGTGATGTGTATAACTGTATGTGACTTGTGAGCACAGGTGAGGCTGTCACGGAGAGTTGTGTGTCTGTATGACCATGGGCTGGGTGTGACTGTGTGAGTGGGAGTGACAATGTGACACTGGGACATTGTGGGGGTGTGTACCTCAGTGACAGTTGGGGAATGTGTGTACTTGGGATGTGACTGTGGACTCCGCAGGTGAGCATGTGAAGTGTGAGCAACAATGTGTGAGGTGTTAATGAGTGTGGTTGTATAACATTGTGTGTGACCCACAGATTGTGTCATTAAAAGATTAGATGACTGCGTGAGGAACTAGCTAACTGTGTGTATTTATTTCATTGACAACCCTTTGAGCCTCTGCTCTGTGCCCAAACCTGTGCTGAGTGACACTGGGGACCCAGTGGTGACTGGGATGCCCTTGCCCTGTCCCCATGGGGCACATAGGCCAGTGGGGGAAAACAGATGGTGTTTGTGACCTTGTGATTGTGTGGATGTGTGTGTGATTGACTCAGTATGAAGGAACTGAGAAGCTGTGAGGTGTTACTGTGAGTCCACGCTCCAGGCATGCAGCTGTGTGGCACTTTGGATGGCTGTCAAGCCGTGGGTGGCAGCTCCTGGCTCTGGGTGTGACTGTGGATTATCCGACTGTGAATGAACATGAGGAACAGTGTAAGATCCAGTGTTACGTGTGACACTGTGACTGCGTGACTGTGGCTCTGTGTGTGATGGCTGGGTGGGATGGGTGGAACAGGGTGAGAGGCTGTGACCCTGACTCCATGACTGCTCCCACGTGACCTCGAGTGACTGTGATACTCACACGCGACTGGCCCCCTGCTCTGGGTCTCTGCCCCGAGCTCCCCGCTCCTGTTCCCTGGCCCCGCCCCCTCCCACCACCCCAGGCTGTCACCTCTTGCAGCGCCCAGGCAAGGCAGTGGAGGAGGCAGCGAAGGCAACGCCTGGAGCAAGGGATCAAGAGCAGGGCTGGGGACAGGTGAGGGCTCCCCACTTCCCAGCCCACTGCCTTGCCCCCATAGCCCCCTCAAGTCTCTGAGTCCCTCATTCTCTCTGTTCTTAGCTCATGCCTTTGTCTCTGTTTCTGTCTCTGCCCACGTTCTCTACCTTCTCTCGATCTGGCTCTTGATACCTCTGTCTCCACGTCTCCCCATCTCTGTTTAGCCTCTGGATGGCTCTGCTTGTGTATCTCTCTCTTTCCCCCTTTTTCTGTGTCTCTCTCCACATCTCTATCTCCTCTTTGTCTCCTACCCACATTTTCGTCTGTCTTTTCCTGTCTTTTGGTCTCTGGTTTCTTCCTGTGCATCTCATTCTCTCTCATTCTCTGTGTTTATATCTCATGCATCTTTGACTCTGTATCTTTCTGGGGCTCCCTCTGAGATCCTCTCTGCTTCCCCCTTCTGCTACATGGTACAGTTGGGGGTGTAGGGGTTAGACCGACTCCCAGGCATCCGGGCCCTGCAGACCTCAGCTCAGGGTCTGACGCCTCTCTGGTCCCTCAGGAGAGGGTTGTCCCATTGGCTCTGGGCTTTATCCACAGGGGAGAAAGTTGTATAAGGTCGGGTTCCTATCCGCGATTTGAAAACCCTCTGGGCCCCAGAAGTGGGAATTCGGAGGGTCATTTCAAGCTCCGTGCCAGACGGTCTCCTCTCCTAGGCGGTCCCCAGGTTCCCCAGAGTCTCTAGGTCTAGACTCCGGGTGACAGCGCTTCCGCCCAGAGCAGCTCTAGGGCAAGGGCGCCCTCAGCAAACACCCCCCTTCCACCGCCGCTGCCCGAGCGACAGCTATGGGTGGGCCCGGGAATCACGTGTTGGGTCTCGGCCTCGCTCACCCCTCTCCCCCACCCCCCAAATCATCACGCGGCAGGGAGAAGGGTGGGAGGAGGATGGCACTGCCTCCCAGTCCGCCTCTATGAATCCCAGAGCCGGGTGGTGCTGGATCTGGGGGCGCAGGGCCAGGCTCCACACTCTGCCCTCGGACCCTACAGGCCGGACTGCCGCCTGCGTGACCTGACCCTTCGCCCCCCATGCCCCGCCGCCCTCACGATGCCGAACTATCCGCCCTGGCGGCTGCTACTGCTGTTCTCGCTGTGGGGGCCACTGCTCCGGAGGGCGGAGGTGAGGACCCGAGGAGCCATAGGACTTCAAGGCTTGTTGGGAGGTCTGGGGACGGTTTTAAGGCTTCCCCCACTGCAGAGAGAGTTTTAAGACTGCCCCGCTTGCCCAGGTTCAAGTTTTGATGGTTGTTTCCAGTCTCTTCTTTGCTTTCCAATTCTCCGGATGATTTCCAGCCACTTCTTCCCCAAATTTTCCTGAAGGTTTTCAGTCCCCCACAGCAACTCCCTTTACTGGTTTCTAGGCACCCCTCAAGACTTAAAAGAGGTTTCTAAGCCACCCAAGGTTCCCGGGCAAAATAGGGCAGCCCCTCCAAGTCCCTCTAGAGTGTTTCTGGCGCACACCAATCAAGCTGCCTGGGAGCAGGGGTCGGTCGGGGGGTCCTCCCTTCTCTCTTTTAGTAGACAGGCTCTGAGGGGCAGACGGCGGGGGAGCTGTACCAGCGCTGGGAACGGTACCGCAGGGAGTGCCAGGAGACACTGGCGTCCGCGGAGCCCCCAGCAGGTGTGACTAAGAGGACTGGACGCAGGGGAAGGGCTGGGGCTGACGGGGGTGGGCTTGAGGCGGGCCTAGGACTGAGGGGCGGGCCTGAAAGAGAAGTCTGGGGTCCCTGTGGGCTGGGGCGGAGAGGCCTGGGGTGCGGCTTGGCTTGGGAAGGGCCTAGACCTGAGCGCGGTGGAAACGGGGGGGCAACTCGAATTAGTGGGAGAGGCCCGGGAAGCTCAAAATGGGCAGTCTTGCTTGGGATTGCACTAGGTGGGAGAGATGTGAATTGGACCACTCAATGCAGGAAGCGGAGTGTGGGCTGGGGCCTAGAAAGAGTGGGAAGAAGTGGGGAGCCGCCTACGGAGGGAACTTGTTCGGTGGGAGGAGCCCAGAGTGGGGCGCAGAGTGGGCGGGGCCTTGCCGCCTGGTGGGAGGGGCTGTGGTGGGGCAGGGGCCGGACCATTCGGGTGGGCGGGGCTAGGGCACGTCTTGCGTGTGGAAGGCGGAGAATCATTTAGGCGCGCGGTGCCCAAGGTCCACCCGACCCCTATGTCCACCCCAGGCCTCGCCTGTAATGGGTCCTTCGATATGTACGTCTGCTGGGACTACGCTTCACCCAACGCCACTGCCAGTGCGTCCTGTCCCTGGTACCTGCCCTGGCACCGCCGTGGTGAGGTGCCCCCCTGGACCCTTCCCTGACACGAACAGCTCCCAACCCCTCGCCCCAGACACCACTCCCCAGAAGCGTACCTACGCCCTGTCTCCTTCTCTCTGTCCGGTTGGGTGTCTTCTTCTGTCTGGCCAACCCTGGTTGGGTCACTCTGACGTACGGTGCCTCTTCTCTGTCTCTGTATCTCTCTGAGGACCATGGGGTTTTTATTTTCTCTCCATTTCCTGAGTCTCTCTGGGCTAATTGGTAACTTTTTTATGCCTCAAATTCCTCAACTGTAAACTGGAGTTGATGATAGTACCGATTTCATAGGCTTATTATGAACATTAAATTATACGTGTAAAATGCTATACAAAGGTTTGTCATCATCGCTTTGGCTCTCTCTCTCTGCCTTTGTCTCAGTTTGTCTTTCTGTCTCCATCTCTATCGCTGTACCTCTGAGCCCCTCCCTTGTTTTCACACAGTGGCTGCCGGCTTTGTCCTCCGCCAATGTGGCAGTGATGGCCAGTGGGGACCTTGGAGAGACCATTCTCAATGTGAGAACCCAGAGAAGAATGGAGCCTTTCAGGTAAGAAGAGGTGAAGGATTCAGGTTAGGATGTCCTAGGAAAGACAAAAAGGCAGCAGCCTCAGGCTGAGCCTGAAACCCCTTGTACTGTTCAATACTCTGAGTCCCAAGCAATAGAAACTCAACTTAAACTTGCTTGGTGGAGAAAGAAATAGATTGGCTTCTGTGATTGAAATGTATAAGGCAACAACTTCAGGCACAGCTGGATCTAGGTGCTCAAATGATGTTGCTTGGAATCTCTGATACTGAGCCTCTGTGTTGATCTCATCTTTTCTGTGGGGTGAAAAAGGTGGTCCCCATTAGCACCAGGCTCACATCCCCCAATCAAGCAACACTACGGGGAAACTGAGCTTGGTTCTCTCTCTCTCTCTCTCTCTCTTTTTTATTAAGGTATCATTGATATACACTCTTATGAAGGTTTCACATAAAAAACATTGTGGTTCCTACATTCACCCATATTATCAAGTCCTCCCATACCCCATTGAAGTCACTGTCCATCAATGTAGTAAGATGCCAGAGTCACTACTTGTCTTCTCTGTGCTACACTGTCTTCCCCGTGACCCCCCACACCATGTGTAGCAATCATAATACCCCTCAATCTCCTTCTCCCTCTCTCCCCACCTGCCCTCCTCCCCTCCCGTTTGGTAACCGCTAGTCCCTTCTTGGAGTCGGTGAGTCTGCTGCTATTTTCTTCCTTCAGTTTTGCTCTGTTGTTATACTCCACAAATGAGGGAAATCATTTGATACTTGTCTTTCTCTGACTGGCTTATTTCACTGAGCATAATACCCTCTAGCTCCATCCATGTTGTTGCAAATGGTAGGATTTGTTTTCTTCTTATGGCTGAATAGTATTCCACTGTATATGTATACCACTGCTTCTTTATCCATTCATCTACTGATGGACACTTAGGTTGCTTCCATATCTTGGCTATTGTAAATAGTGCTGCAATAAATATAGGGGTGCATGTCTTTTTTTTAATCTGAGAACTTGTTTTCTTTGGGTAAATTCCTAGGAGTGGAATTCCCGGGTCAAATGGTATTTCTATTTTTAGTTTTTTGAGGAACCTCCATATTGCTTTCCTCAATGGTTGGACTAGTTGACATTCCCACCAGTAGTGTAGGAGGGTTCCCTTTTCTCCACATCTTCGCCAGCATTTGTTGTTCCTAGTCTTTTCAATGTTGGCCATCCTAACTGGTGTGAGGTGGTATCTCATTGTGGTTTTAATTTGCATTTCTCTGATAATTAGTGATGTGGAGCATCTTTTCATGTGCCTGTTGGCCACTTGAATTTTCCTCTTTGGAGAATTGTCTGTTCATATCCTCTGCCCATTTTTTAATAGGGTTATTTGCTTTTTGGGTGTCGAGGCATGTGAGTTCTTTATATATTTTGGATGTTAACTCCTTAATAAGCTTGGTTCTTAATAGCTCCAACATAATATCCCAGGACTGACTCTTATTGGCCTGGTTTGAGTTAGATGCCTGTCTAGTCTAATCACTGTGTTTGTGTGTTAGTGGGTTGGGGGGGCTGATTGGCTGGTCACATGCCCAGCCCTGGAGCTGAGGGGAGGAATCAGTATCACTCAAACAAGGGTAGTTAGATTCCCAAGAGAAAATCGGGGTGCCTGGTAGGAACAAAGAGGAGATGTCTGTTCAGCCCCTTTCTGGCCCTGGGGGAAGAGCTGAGCTCTGTTCCTATGTCTTCCCCTCATCTCCCCAGGACCAAAGACTGATCTTGGAGCAGCTGCAAGTTGTGTACACTGTGGGCTACTCCCTGTCCCTTGCCACACTGCTGTTGGCCCTGCTCATCCTGAGTGTCTTCAGGTGGGACCTCTAGCCCTGAGGGACAGCAGCAGAGACTGGGCCTGTTTGCCCAGTAAGATGGGGTGGTCAACCTCCACCAGTAACAGCACTCAATGGCGGTTCTGTGGCAAGGGTTGGGAGGTGGCTTAAAGGGGCTCTATGTGGCCAAGGACATGTCAGGGTCCCCAGACTGCCTCCTGAATCCCCCAGGCGGCTGCACTGCACTCGCAACTACATCCACATCAACCTGTTCACGTCCTTCATGCTGCGCGCGGTGGCCATCCTCACCCGAGACCGTCTGCTGCCTCCACCAGGCCCCTACCCTGGGGACCAGGTCCCTCTCCTGTGGAACCAGGTGAGAATCATTTCTCTCCTCAAATCAGGATTCTGAGGTCAAGAGGTTCCCAATCCATTTACAACTTTCTGCACTACCAACAGTTTCTCTCTCTTGGCTGCTCCAAACATATTTGGAGAGGGACTCTCCCAACTCAGCCTCCTCCTTCATTGACCCCATCACGCCTTTACTGGAATATTCCATTCCCTTTCTCTCATTAAAAAAAAAATTTTATTTTATCACAAGGACATCACAGTGGTTCAACAGTCTGCCTCCCCCACCCCTGCCTGCCCATTCCCCTCCCCCTTGGTAACCACTAGTCACTTCTCAGTGTCTGTGAGTCTAATGCTGCTGTTTTGTTTCTTCTGTTGTGCTTTGTTGTTATTCCACAAACAAGTGAAGTCATATGGTATTTGTCTTTCTCTGCCTGGCTTATTTCACTGAGCGTAATTCCCTCTAGATCCACCCATGTTGTTGCAAATGGCAGGATTTCTTTTCTTTTTATGGCTGAATAATATCCCATTGTGTGTATGTACCACATCTTCTTTAACCATTCATCTATTGATGGACATTTAGGTTGCTTCCTATCTTGGTTTCCCATTCTCTTATTTTTCTCTCATTGCCTCATCCACCTTTGGACTTTTCCACCAATGAGAGAGTCCCCTGCTGGAGATGAGGTGGGTGGCGGGATAGGAGAAACTAAGGGGGTCATGAATTTGGTAGATAACCAATCTGTCACTGGGAGACAAGGAGAGAGACTAGAATCTGGGGGCAGAGGGGAGAAAAACTATCTAAAAGCAATTTGGGCTATGGCAATTCAAGGGCTTGGAGATTTCAAATGATGGTGGGAGAGTGGTGATAGAATGGGAGAAACCTTTTGATAAGTGGAATAGTTGAGTTCAATTCTTAGAAGGCGAGGTGAGAGAGGCCATACTTGGAGGACTGGCGGGGGTGGGGATAGCAAAATGGTAGATACCAATTGTTAAAGAGGTGAGAGTGGGAGAGTTCATACAGAGGAAGGGAATAGGGTGAGAGAAACCAACCACACATCCCATTTTTTGATGTCACAAAGCCGGAGGAGAATATCTGATGGTAAGAGAGGAGGGTGGAAGGACACCAGGGGGAGGATGGCTTCGGGACACCCCGTTTGCCCTGACTGACCCCTCCCCACGTCTGGCCACCCCTAGGCCCTAGCTGCCTGCCGCTTGGCCCAGATCGTGACCCAGTACTGCGTGGGCGCCAGCTACACGTGGCTGCTGGTGGAGGGCGTCTACCTGCACAGCCTCCTGGTGCTGGTGGGAGGCTCCGAGAGGGGTCACTTGCGCTGCTACCTTCTCCTCGGCTGGGGTGAGCCCCGACCCCGTCCCCTGCCCAGCCCAGCGCGCCCCCGCTCCCCCGACTGCTCTGCCGGTTCACCTGATGGGGTCTCCCCCCTCTCTAGGCTTCTGCCTCCCCACTCCGGCGGGGTAATTCCGCGGGTCTTGGGCATGGCAGGGCCGTGCGCGCGCTGACAGCTGCGGCGGGGTGGGGGGCGGGGGTCGGGGTCTGCACAGGGGCCCCCGCACTTTTCGTCATTCCCTGGATGATCGTCAGGTACCTGTTCGAGAACACGCAGTGAGTCGCAGGGTCTGGGGGCCTGGGAGGTGGGCGGGGCTTTAAGGGACGTGAGCGGGATGTGATGGAAATGTGGGTGGGTCTGATGGCCCCGAGGGGCTTGGGAGAAAAGTGGGTGAGGTCTAAGGGACGGGAGCTTGGAAAGATCGTGTCTGAGGACTACTGGGAGCGGCGGGAGGAGGACCGGGCCCAGTTGGCAGCAGGCGGGGTTTTAAAGGAATGTGGGTGTGGCATTAAGGTGGGCGGGGCCTGGGGAGCGAAGGTGCTTGTTCGCGTGAGTCCAGTTTTCTCTCTCTTAATTTACTCCCCCTCCACCAAGGTGCTGGGAGCGGAACGAGGTCAAGGCCATTTGGTGGATCATACGCACCCCTATCCTCACGACCATCTTGGTACGGTCGGTCCCACCTCCTCCAGGTCATCTTCAGGATTTTCCCACCTTGGGAAATCGGGCGCCATCCTCTGCACCCCAGAATGGAATCAGGCTGGCTCAGCCTCTCTGTCTCCCCGCAGATTAATTTCCTCATCTTTATCCGCATTTTTGGCATCCTCGTGTCCAAGCTGAGGACGCGGCAGATGCGCTGCCCAGACTACCGTCTGAGGTGACGGAGAGCGGTGGGTTGGAGGGGAAGGTAGCTGATGGAGAGATGGGGGACCCGGGGCTGCGGGAACACTGCCACCTTTTACCCTTCAGGCTGGCTCGCTCCACACTGACGCTGGTGCCCCTGCTGGGTGTCCACGAGGTGGTGTTTGCTCCTGTGACAGAGGAACAGGCCCGGGGCACCCTCCGTTTTGCCAAGCTCTGCTTCGAGATCTTCCTCAGCTCCTTCCAGGTGCTCAGGCGGGGTGCAGGGGCTACACCCCTCGACCTGGAGTCCTCCCCAGAGGGGCAGGAGGGCTACAGTCCTCTGATACAAGCAGTGTATGGGGTGTGAAGATGGGATTCTGGTCATACATTCTAGATAAAATACTAAGGGAGTGCTGTCCTGAGCTGGGAAGCAGCAGGGATGGAGACAGGAGACCAGGTAGCCTCAGCAGTACTGCTCCCTGGTGAAGATCCAGGCTGTGAGGCCGGACAGGGCTGAGGCCAGATTCAGGTTCTGTCACTTCCCAGCTCTGTGGCCTTCACCTGAGGGTCAGAACTAGAGTGAGGCAGATGGGGTGCACAAGTCACAGATTGAAAGGAAGCACTCACTCCAAAATGTAAGGCCAACCCTGCATTTGCTTGCCTTACTCTAGTTCCCATACTGCTTTACCTTGTTTGGCCTCAGTTTTCTCATCTCTGAAGTGGGGACAATACCAGTCTCACCTCACAAGGCTGTTCATTGATTAAAGTCAGCAAAAATTTGTTGAACACTTACTATGTAACAAGCACTCTTTCAGGCTTATTATGGGGATACAGCCAAGAACCAAATGGTCCCCACTCTCTAGTGGGAGAGACAGATGCTAAACATGCTAAGTAAAATATATGCAATGGCAAATGGTGACATGTGCCTAGAGGGGAAAAAAAGCCAAATAGAGGTGAGGAGCAGACAAGTGGCAGTCTGTGGGGTTACAGACGAGGGGTCAGGGAAGGCCTGATGGAGGAAGGCAGCATGCCCCAAGCAGTGGGAGCCACAGGGAGCACAGGGGAGACAGGACAGAGAGAGGAGGCACCTGGGCAGATCCTTGGGCCAAGTACATCCCTTGGCTTTCCTCCGAGTGAGTCGGGAGCCAAGGGAGAGGAGGGATGTGGTCAGTTAGGTTTTTAACAGGGTCATGGAAAGTAATAATATGATATATAACATCTTAATAATAATACATAATACATTTAATTATAATAGATAATACATTTAATAATAATAAATGTAAGTAATTGACTTGTATTAATTTATTAAGTAATTTATTAATTATATATTCTATATTTGTGCATAAAATGGATAAATTTATATAAATATGAAGCTAACTCTTAAAATGGGTTTATTAATAATAATATATATTATTACATAATAAGTTACACCAAGATTAAGTAAAAGGTTTACCTCTGTGTGCCAGGCACTACAGTGTCTTGGATATTAATACCTCAATTCTCACAACCAACACTCTATTATTACCCCATTTTCCAGATATATAAAGAGGGGTTAAGCACCTTGCCCAACTGGGGAAGACAGAGAGGAAGCGCTTATCACATCTAGGGAGCCTACCCCTGGGGTTCCGTGTTCTTAACCCTACTGCTCAGCAAACCCGGAAGGCCAAGTGGGAGCTGGGGTCCAGGGAGATGACTGAAATAGTTTAGGACCAGGGTGGTGGCAGCCAAGGTGGTTTGGGGCCTGGCAAGGGCTGGAGCTCATTAAGGTGGTGTTTATAATCCTCCCTCACTTGCGATTTAACTCCCCACGCCTGTCTGGCAGGGCTTCCTGGTCAGCGTCCTCTACTGCTTCATCAACAAGGAGGTAGGGAGAGCCCCGGCCTGCCGCCCACGCCCTCTGGCGGCCACGCAGGGAACGGCGCTCCTGGCGCCGCCTCTGAGCGCCGTCCGGTTGCAGGTGCGGTCGGAGGTCCGCCGCGGCTGGCGCCGATGCCGCCTGCGCCGCAGCCTGGGCGAGGAGCAGCGCCAGACCCCGGAGCGCAACTCCGGAGCCCTGCCCTCCGGCTCTGGGCCCTCTCGGGTCGTCACCGGCCGCGCCTTCTCCTCGGAGCCCCTCCCGGGGTCTGGGGGTGAGGTCGATCAAGTCATGGAAAGTTCCTGCTAGGCAGCGGGATTCCTCTGCCTGTTCAGTTAGCACGTATTTACTGAGCACCTACTGTGTACCAGACTCTGAGTGGAGGGCGCTGGGGAAATGGGGGATAGGGTAGGCGAGGAAACAGAATACAAGGTCCCTGACCTCCTAGAGTTCACAACGGAATGGGGGAAACAAACGTTGAAGACAAAACATCAAGTTATATATACACTGTGGAAGAGCTTATGAAGTCAGAAGAGCCTGGGGTGGTCCAGGAGGGCAGCTCAGAGGGGGTGACATTTAAGCCATGCCTGCAAGAGGTGAAGGACACAGCTCTGGAGAAAATGGTGGACATGAATCTAGGCAGAAAGAACAGCATCTGCAAAGGCCCTGGAGCAGAAAGCAACTTAGCCCTGTGTGAGGAAGAGAGGCTGCCTGTGTCACTGGAGTGAGATGAGTCAGAGCCAACAGATGCAGGGAGAGAGAAGTGGGCAGGGGCACAAGAGTTGGGATTTTATTCCAGGTGGAGATTCTTAGAAGGAGCATCACATGGGCTAATGTTTTAAAGAGATCCCTCTGCCACGTAAGTGAACGGATTATTAGGGGCAGGGGTGGGACAGTGAGGAAGAGACTGCAGGCACATGATGGTGGCAGCCACAGAGGCGTGTGAAGCAGTCAGATTCTGGAGCTGCTTTAAAGATAGAATTGAGGCTTTGCCAGTGCATCACATGAGGAAAGTGCACCAAGGAGAGAAGCCAAGACTTGCAGGTCTGGAATGGAGAGAGGAGATAGATCAGGTTCAGGGTGGGGAAACCAAGAAGCTCTTTGGACATGTTAAGCTGGGAATAGAGCCTGGAGCTCGTGGGAGGGGTTAGAGTTGGAGATGATGAGAGTGGCACCAGGGTCCAGAAAGGATTTGGGACATATGAACACAGGTAGTTCAGGGCAGGCCTCAGAGCTGAAACCTGACATCCAGAGGCCAAGACCACTGCCAGCTGGGGAGAACCTCCCTCCTGAATCCTTCCCCCACACAGATATACACCCAGATTCAATAAGTACCCTGATGTTATGTTCTTTGGGGTCCCCAGCCCCCGAACAGATGTGCCTCATAGCAGCTGAACTCAGAATCCTTCAAGCATGTGCCCTACTGGGTACCCCCTTCTGGGTTTGAGGTGGGGGTAGGGGCTCTAAGGCAGGGACCCTGTAAAAAAAGCATGGGGAACAGTTGTTTTTTGTGTGGGGGAGGTGGGAGAATCTTCTTGGCCAGGCCATAAAGGGAAACGAGACGGCCTACATGGCCGGTTGCCTGTGATGGGCTGGCCACTTCTGGAGGGTAATACTGCTCTTCAGCCACATGCTGCCATTGTCCCCTATGCTTAACAGAAACCCCAGTGGAAATGTTCATGTGATCTCCTGATGCTTCAGTATTTGCAATGTATACAATTAAAATTATACGTGTGTGTGCCAAACATCTTCCAAGGGCTGCTTCTCTAGAAAGGGTAGTATAGGAATAGTAAAACTACAGAAACCAGACTGGTTCAGATCTTAGTGTGGCTATATACTAGTTGTATGACTTGTGGAAAATGCACACCTCTCTGCCTCCGGTTCCCCTCGAAAATGAGTATAATAACAGTACATGTCCCAGGGCTGCCCGAGATTCTGATGAGCTAGTTAGGACGCTGCCGGTGTCTGGTACACGCACAGCCAGTCTGCTAGTGCTTTTCCAGAAACCTTTGCTTTCACCTTCACCCAGTGAAGAATGACGTGATTAGAAACCATTTGGGCAGTGGGATGGGTGAAGAGGTGAGGGAGGAAATTCAGATTGATGCCAAGCAGGGTGCCCCACACTGGTATCTGCTGCAAACCTGCAAGGTAGTAAACCCATTCCCATTTCCTGGGGGAGAAGTCAATGACCAGTGGAAGGCAGGCTAGGGATTCCACCCCAGGACTGACTCCAGGGCTTGTGCTGTCCCAGCTCCTGTACAAGAACCAAACCCCAGGGGGAGTCTCCTAAGGCAGCACCATCGCCCACCTCTAATCAGGAGATTGTGCTTCCATCCTGCTCCTTGGCAATCTGCCTGGGTTTGCACTCAGCTCCATCATTTCCTGAGTGACCCTGTGCACATCACTTACCCTCTCTGGGCCTCAGCTGTCTCATCTGTAAAAGGGGATGGCTCTAATATCTACCCCCAAGATGGTTGCTGATTAGATGTGCACCACTCAGTAAATGTGTGCCTTTATAACCTCACAGATGTCACCCTGTCTGTGTCAGGCCTTCTCCTGCTGCAAGGTCCCTAGCTCTGTCGCTACTAGGCTCATGGGGTCAGACATCTCCTTTGGTCCTCACCTCAGGCCTGTGAACACTTGCCCTCGCCTGGAGTTTGGTTCCTATTTGGAAAACAGAGATAAGAGACGTAGGCATAGACAAACGCAGACATGGGTGGGCAACATCGCAGTGTGCCGGCATCAGAGCAAGACAGGATCTTCCTTAGTTCCCCAACGTGTCAGATTTCTCTCAAGGGTAATTAAGTTGTAATTTGAGGGCAGAACTCAGGGGCTAAGCCACAATCACAGCATCACCACTTTCTGGCTGGGTACTCCTGGGAAATGCCATCGCCTCCCTCCTCTGGAAATGGAGGTAATAGATGACAGCGCCTCCTCAGAGTTGTTGGGGAGAGATCTGAACAGCAGGAGCCCAGGACCTGGCACCCTGAGAGCTCAGCAGGTGTCAGCCACAATCCCTATCTGTACCTGGGTACCTACTGCTTTAGCCGCATGTGTCCTCTTCCTGTCTGTGAGGGCAGGTCAGGGGCTCTGCAGAGTCTGCTGTGTCCCTGGCATTGCAACACTGGGCTGGGCACAGAGGAGGCACTTGCTGGACTGTTTTCTAACAATTGGGAAAAAGGCTCAAAGAAATTCTGAGTGAGATCAACTACTGAGAGAGGGGCAGGGAGAAGGGAGAGAGAGAATGACAAAGAGAATCTAGAAAAAATTAAAATAGAAAAGAGAGCAACCTATTTACATCACATATGGGGAAAGAGAGGCCCGGAAGGGGTTGAGACAGGGCTTCTTCACCTGCTCGGAGGTCCTGATCCCAGTGCTTGCCTACACCCCCAACCTAGCACCCTCCTTGGATGCCCTGAGTCCTCCCCAGTCACAAGGCTCTGAGAACAGACAGATGCCACTAGAAAAAAACACAGGACTTTATTATTCCCACCACAAAGGGCAGGCCTTTGCAGGACAAGGGATGGAGGAGGTCTGGCGGCAGGGAGGAGGCCCCTATTTGCCAGCGATGAGCGGATTCCGCAGGACCACAATGACTGAGTCCCCACGCAGGAACATCTTGGAGATGTAACGGTCCTTGTTGACTGGCTTGGACTTCTTTTTGCCCTTGCCACTCTTGGGGACCTCGGTCCACATCTCCTTTACGTTCTCCAGCACCATGTTGCAATGCCTGGTGGGGCAGGGGGCGGGGAGACACCGGGAATGTGGGGGAGCCTCTGACCACCCCTCCTCTGTCCGGTACTGCCTCCCCAGCCAGCAGCATGCTGTGCGGGAGGCGCTGGCCCCGGGACCAGCTGGGGCCATCTCTGCAAGTGCTCAGGTTGAGGCATGGGCAAAGGACTTCACCCAGTGCCTCAGTTTCCTTTGAAAATGGAGCCATTCACTTGCCTACCTCATAAGGCTGTTTTGAAGAGTAAATGAACAAACACAGCATTCTTGTAAAGTACTTAGAGAGATTATAGGATTATAGTAATTATACCTCAGTAAAGTGGTTAACAAACATCACAAAGGAACCCCTGGATGTGGCAGGATATACACCAGAGTAGCAGGCTGGACAGGAGGCTGGTACGGGGGCAGAAGAGGAAGTGAGGGGAAAAGGGAAAAAAGGCAGCTTAAAACCCAGGTCTATCTGCCTCCTGCTCAGCACATCCTGCTGGTCTCATTCTCCTCAAGGGGAAACTGAGGCTGAGTCAGACTTGTCATGGTCATAGAATAGCTAACGGCAGAAATGTTCTAGAATTAAGCCTCACCACACTGCTGAGAGGAGAGCACCTCCCAAATGTTAACTGAAGGTTGTGGATTATATTGGGCATTTACCATGTGTTAATCCTCACAACTGTCGATGAGGGGCATTATTAGGACACACATTTTGCAAATGAGAAAACTAAGGCCCAGAGAGGAAAAATCACTTGCTTTTTCTTTTGGCTGAAACACTCGTGCCCTAGCCAGCCCCTTCATTTTATTCAGGTCCGTTCACTGCAGCCTCTTCCTCTGGGACCTCCAACGTCACCATCTCAGACAGCACCCCCTCCCCTGTACTTTACCATCTTACCTGGCTTTATTTTTCTTTACAGAACTTATCACTTGTCATTATGACACATCATTTATGTTCTTGCTGTCAGCTTCTCTACTATTGCTTAAGCTCCCTGAGTACAGAACCATATTTGTTTTAGCCACTGCTGTGCCTCTGAAGCCTAAAGAAGTACCTGGCATGAGCAGATGCTCTAATTATGTAGTAACTGTGAAAACTGATTAAGAGCATCCTGGGTGCCAGACGCTGTACTTCTGATGACTTTCACATCTATTTAGTCATTGAATCTTTGCAACCACCAGGATTACTGCCACTGTACGGAAGAGATAAAGTCACTTGCCAAAGGTCTCATGGCTGCCACGAGGCAGAGTAGGGACTCAAACCCATGAAGAGTGGACCCCAAGTCCATGCCCATAACCACTGCACTGCACAGCTGGAGGGGCAACAAGAAATGGTCACACCTTGGGAGTTTTAAGATGCTTATACCCCAGGCTCCTGAGGCTGGAGCTGGGACTGCTTCTCCAGGACAGGACAGGGCCCCTCTCAAGACCCAGGAGCTCACCTGTCGAAGGCCTTCACACGGCCCAGGAGCTTCTTGTTGTTGCGGCAGTTGATGAGCACTTGTGTGTTGTTCTTGACTGACTGAGTGAGCACGGAGAGCGGACCCGTGTTAAATTCCTCCTCCTCCCGCTTCTGCAGCTCCTCCGGGGTCATCTCACTCTTGGGCTTGTTGAGGAGGCTCCTGAGTGGGAAATATGGAACCCATAGGTGAGAGGGCCTAGAGCCTCAACAGGTAGTCATGGCATTGCACTGTCTCCCCAGTCTTACCCAACACACCGACTTCCTGCTAGGTCCTCTTGCTTGGCATCACCCCTCAGATGCCTATCGGATATTTTCAATCTTGCATGTCCTAGGTTGAGCTCAACATCTCCTAACAACCCCAGACTACTCTATCCACAGCCTTCCTCATCTCCATCCTTCTAGTTCTTTGAGCAAAAACTCTGATATCAACTGAACTCTTTTTTCTTTCTCTCATATCCTGTAGTCAGTCTGTCAAATCCTGATAGCAAAATCCTGTCAACTGCCTCTAAAATATATCTAGAATCTGACCACTTTCATCCTAAATCACATTGCCAGTACCTCCACCAGCTCTTTCCTAAAGTCTTACTGGTCTCCCTGCTTCCATCCATGCTCCCCGATGACCTGTTCTCGGCAGAGCAGTCCTGGCAGTTGTGCCAAGGTCAAACTTGTACCATCTCACTCTTCCAAATCTTCCCATAGCTCTCATCTCAACATAAAAGTAAAATCCAAAGTTTTAAAAATGTCCCACACCTGACCTCCTCTCTCACTCCGTTCCAGCCAAGTGGCTTCCTGGATGGTCCTTTAAGATATTAAGCAAACTTCCATCTTGAGCCTGTGCATTTGCTTTTCCCTCTGCCTGGATACCTCTGTGGGTACTTTTGCAGTTTCACTCTCTCACTTTCTTCAGGCCTTTGCTCAAGTGTTGCCTTCTCAATGTGTCCTTCTGTGCTAGCTAGTTACTGTCGCTCAAGATTGGTATTCCCCGTTGTTTTCACGTTGGTCTGATCTGTATTCATAGCCCTGGCCACCAAACACCTGTTTATTATCACTATTTATTGCCTGCCTCTCTCCACCCCATAGGCTTCATCAGGGGGTATTTTTCCGGGGTGGTGGTAGTATTCACTGATCTATCTCACGTGTCTAAACCAGTACCTGACACATGAGTACTTAATAAATAATTGCTGAATGAATAAATAAGTAAAATCATTACGGTGACTCGTTATCCGTTAAAGTCTAGAATCAGGTCTCAAAGCCAAACCCCTGAGCGCAAGTGATCCCGATAAGCTCCTTACAGTAAATCGTTATTCCTTAAAGTCCGCACTCCCCTCTCCCATTGTTTATTTACTCTTAAAATCTTCCCCTTAAAATTCGTTTCATCAAGACTATTTGGGGAAGCCCCCAGTCCACTATCCGATAGCTCTGCCCCCCGACCCGAGCTCCGGATCCGTCAAAGGCCCCATGCAGGTTCTCAAATTCATCAGGGAAAAGTATGCACTTGACCCCTGCGATCTCCGCCTCCGCCCCCGCCCTGCCCATCCCCTTCCACTGGTAAGTGTCCAAATGTACACCCTCAAGCCCACTCCCGCCGCCAAACGTAGCCCTGCCTCACATGGTAGCGGTGGGGGTGCTTCCAGGTCACTGCCGTCTCCTCCGCGTTGCTTTGGCCTCTGAAGATAGAGGAAAGGAGAGGAGGGACTTCCGCTTCCTGCGGCCTACTTCCGTAGGCGCCTGCGCAAACCCAACCAGAGGATGGGGCGTGGCCTGTTGCCATAGAGATCTCCGCCACCTGGGCGCAGAAGTAGGGTAAAAGCTTTGCGTAGTGTTTGGAGGCCATTCAGGACCATACGGGGCGGATGTTCACGACAATGGAAAGAGAAAGAAGGCGGGTCAGACTGAAACCATTTAGTTGTAGAACAGCACAGGTTAAAGAGGGAAAGGACACTCCATTTCCAAATACCCGCCGGCCCTGCGTTCGGGGGCGCGGCCTCTCCGAAGCCAATCAGCTCCGCGCTCCAGGGACGGACACCGCCCCTTTACCTTCGGGGACGACTCATTTACGTGTCTATTGACCTTTCCGACTCCAAGTAACCAATCCTTTGACTACTTACGGGAGAGGCGGGGACCTGCGCGCGGAAGGTCGAATTTTCCAGGATCAAACGCTTTTCATTGGCTTTACCTCTTCTGCTAAGGCGGAGCCTTTACCCTGTCGCGCTCCCATTTGGGCTGTGCAATACTCAAGGGAACCAACCCCGAAAGCCCCAGGGAAGCAGGGAGGCGTGTCCTCAACTCTCGTCCCCATTGGCTTCGCCGCCTACAGGAGGGTGGGATGGTGCAGCCGCTCTTGTTTTTCATTGGTCTGACTGTTCCAGGGGGTGTGACTTGGCTGGGCCTAAACTAGCTCCGCGGTCCCCAACCGCTTTCAGCGCGAAGCTGCCATGCGTTCCGGGGGCCGCGGGCGACCCCGCCTCAGACTCGGGGAACGCAGCCTCTTGGATCCACCCCCGGCGCCCAAGCGCCGCCTGCTACCGCGGGCGCAGCTGTTTCCCCTGCTACTGCTGGCGCTGGCAATGGCCTGGGCATTCTACACCATCTGGAGCAGCTGGCATCGCGGGACTGAGGAGCTGCCGCGGGGCCGAGAGGTGGGGGTGAGGCCGGGCGGGGTCGCGAGAGCCCTCATTTCCCGCCTTCTCTTCCCTAAGGTCTCCGGTTGGCGTGGCTTTAATGCTATGGCCCTAGGCACAGGTGCCGCAGTGTCGGTCATCAGAACGCACGCCCCTTGATAACAGTATGAGGCTTCGCGCTTTTCTGTTATTAGTGATTCCTCCTAAGGGGAAGGGGAAGGAGGAGGATTAAGACTGGAAATTCTGCGTTCTAATCCTAAAGTCAACTGTTTGGAAGAGTTCCTCCTTTCTGGGCCTCGATTTCTCTGTCAGGATTGGGGTGGGCTGGACCTGAGTGGCTTGGAGGGATTTAGTTCCTGAGTCTAAGATTTATCCTATAAATATCCGATGCTGGAGGCCGGGATTACGAGGAAATCTAACTTCCTAGGGAGGACGGCACCCAGAGTAGAATCGGAATGGTGGTTGCTCTCACGCTCCGCTCTTCTCTTCTTCCTTCCACCCTCCCAAGGGCCGGTTGATCGGAAGCCTCCCCGAAGCCCAGCTGCGGAGGGTGGTGGGGCAACTTGACCCACAGCGTCTCTGGAACACGTTCCTGCGCCCTCTGCTGGTTGTGCGGACGCCGGGCAGCCCAGGCAATCTCCAAGTCCGAAAGGTAACGGGCCCCACCTCCAACCCCTCACCCTTCAGCCTGCCAGGGAGTGGGAAATAGGCGTTCTGCCTCAGATCCCAAAGCGGCTAAGAGGGATTACTGGAGCTAATCTGACTCTAGAGTCCTACCCTGCTAACTACCAGGCTGTACTGTTTTCTGTACTGCCCCTACCAAAAGCTTACTATGTGCTAGACACAAGCAGCAGCCCTATGAGGTGGGTACTAGTGTGATCGTCATTATGCAGATGGAGAAACTGAGCCCAGCCGTTAGGCATTTTGCCAAAATCCCACCCCTAATAAGTGGTATACTCAGGGTTTCAACCCAAAAGGGTGGGTTCCAGAACTGGTGCTGTAACATCTCTATATTGCCTCCTGGAAAGCACTGGGAGTCGTTTGATACTGCTGGTATTCAAATTCCACCTCAGCCACTTGGAGTGTGACCTAGGACTAGTTTCTTAACATCTCTGTGCTTCAGTTTCCTCATCTACAAAATGGAGCCATTGATAGTCCCTACCCAGCAGGGTTCCTAGAACAGGGCTTGGCACACCGTGAGTGTTATTGAAGAGTGAGGTTGTGATCAGTCTTAGCATCAAGAGGTGGGGTCACTACATGCCTGGCACTCAATAAGTACTCAGCAGAAGTGTGTCAAGGGAATGATTTAAACCAAAGCGGGACTGTCCATTGCTGAGGTCACACTGCCCTTCTCCCAATCTCTTGCCCAGTCCCCAAGGACTCTCCCACCTCTTTCTTGCCTGTAGTTCTTGGAGGCCACACTACGGACCCTGACAGCAGGCTGGCACGTGGAACTGGACCCCTTCACAGCCTCAACGCCTCTGGGGCCACTGGACTTTGGCAATGTTGTGGCCACGCTGGACCCGGGGGCTGCCCGTCACCTCACCCTTGCCTGCCATTACGACTCTAAGCTCTTCCCTTCTGGTTCAGCCCCCTTTGTGGGGGCCACGGATTCAGCTGTGCCCTGTGCCCTGCTACTGGAGCTGGTTCAGGCCCTTGACCTGGAGCTGAGCAGAGCCAAGAAGCAGGTGAAGAGTGGGGGTAGGGTAGTGATGGGGAGGGTGTGGGCCACCTCTATCCTGGTCCAAGCCACCACCCTTCCCTGCCTGGACTTGTCTTCCTGCTTCCACTCCACCCACAGAGTCACAGGGGTCTTTTTACCTGCTGAATGTCAGATCCTGTCCCTCCTCTACCCAAAACCCTCCCATGGCTTTCACTTTGTTCCAAGCATAATTCACTATCCTTGGAGTAGCCATGAGATGTGCCCTGTGACCTCTCAAGTCTCACCTCCCTGATGAGATGGAACCCTGACAACCCCTTACCTCTCACTCACTCCACTCTATCCACCCACCTCCTCTGTGTTCCTCAAACCCACGAGATTCCCACCTCAGGGCATTTGCACTTGCTATTTGCTCCTCCCTAGAATGTGCTTTTCTCAGATTTCTTCCTGACTGGCTTCTACGCTTCATTCCAGTGTACACTCTGACGTCACCTACTCGAAGAGGCCTTCCCAACCACCCACCCTAAAATAGCTCCCTGTCATTATCCCATGCTTTATAGTGCTTTATGGTGGTTTGCTTGTCCAACTCCTCAAGTAGAATAAGCTCCGTACGGGCAGAGACTTGGCTGCTTTGGTTTCCTGCTGTACTCCCTGGACCCAGAACATTGCCTGGCATAAAGTGGGATGTCAGTAAAAATGTGTGGGATGAATGAATGGAAACATGAACTCCAGTGCTCCTGTAATACAACCCAAGCTCCCTGGCCGTTGCTGATCCCTCGGGCCTCTTCTCAAACCTCTGGCCCCAGCACTGGTCCTTGTTGCTTCCTTGCCTGGGAGTGCTCCTCCCTCTGTTCCACTATGTCAGGCTGGCTCCCGCTCACCATCAATGCAAACGTCCCTTCCCAACAGACACGGCGTGCTTCCCAGGCCCAGTTGTCCCCCACCTGCGTACTGTGCTCTTTCAGGGCCCTGTAGTTCCTGGAAGCATCCATCCCAACTGCTTTGCATTGTCTGTATGATTATTCACTTGTGGGTCTCTCTTTTGCTAAATGAGCTTGAGGAATAACAGTATAATTACAGCTAACATTTATTTAGTTACTGTATGCCAGGCACTGTTCTAGGACCTGAATTTGAATCCTATCCTGATTAGAACTGTTATTAAAACTGTTATTATTAGAACTGTGGTTATTCTACATAAAGAAACCGATGCTTTGAGAAGTTAGTAATTTACCCATCACCGCTCAGCTGCAAACTGGCTGAGCCAGCATTTGAACCCAGGCAGTCTGGCTCAGTCTGTACTCTTGGCCACCAGCTCTACAAGCGAGGAGACCTAGTTTGCGCTATTCAGCTGCACAAACGGGCAGGAAACGTGGGTGGGCTGAGGCCGAGGGTGGCACTGAGGTGGCCCTGACAACCGGCTCCCACAGGCCACCCCAGTGACCCTGCAGCTGCTCTTCTTCGACGGTGAAGAGGCACTGAAGGAATGGGGACCCAAGGACTCCATTTATGGCTCCCGGCACCTGGCCCAGCTCATGGAGTCTGCACCCCACAGTCCTGGCCCCACAAGGATCCAGGCTATTGTAAGACCAGGGCCTACTGGGTTCTGGCCAGGGAGGGGGAGAGGGTGTCAGTGAGGTTGGCAGCATCCCCCCTGGACTCTCTCTAGGAGCTCTTCATGCTTCTTGATCTCCTGGGAGCCCCCAGTCCAACCTTCTACAGTCACTTCCCTCACACAGCCCGCTGGTTCTATCGGCTCAGGAGCATCGGTAAGGGTGAAGGTGGAGGCAGACACCAGCCTGGGGTGCGGGAGGGAGCCAGTGGGGCAGACACTGTCTTCTCAGGGGTCATCCAGGCTTCCCTCTGCCTCCCTAGTTTTTTTCTAAGGCACTAGGGCAGAAACAAAAAGATCCCACAGCAGTCACAAACGGGGGCCCTGGGTGAGCTAGCCCTGGGCTCGACGTCTGACTGCTTCTTACCAACCGTTTAAACTCAGGCAAGTGGCTTCATCTCTCTGAGCTTCAGTTTCCTATCTGTAAAATGAGCATGATGGCAACGATACTAGGGTATCTCCTAGACTCAGAGGGCATAAATGAGGCTGGGCATGTAGTAAAGCAGTGAGGGATAACTACCCTTCATTCCTGTTGGGATCATCAATGCTTTACCCCCAGGTCCCCTGCCTTCCTCTGATCCATAAGCAGGGAAACCTTTGACTCCTGAGCGGCTAACCCTTGCTCTCTATTCCCCACTGCCTCCAGAGAAGCGCCTGCACCGCTTAAACCTGCTGCAGTCTCATCCCCAGGAAGCGATGTACTTCCAGCCCGGGGAGCCCCTTGGCTCTGTGGAAGACGACCACATCCCCTTCCTCCGCAGAGGTACTTGTTACAGGAGGTTCAAGGTCTGAGGGAGGTACTGGCCCTGGCCCTTTCCTGGGCTGGGGACTGGTGACAAGTTGCTTAATGGCTTTATGCCTCAATTTTCTCATCTGTAAAATGGGGATAATAATAGCCCCTGAGTTGCTGGGGGGACTGAATGCACTAATATGTATAAAGGCGTTACTTGGACTAGTGCCCTGCACATAGTGAGCATTCAGGAAATGTTAGCTATTATTGTGCCTCAGTGATTGCAGAGTTTTTTCTAGCTGTTCCCCTTTCAAGGCTCTGGGAGCCCAGCAGAATCACCTGAAGAGCTTAAAAAAATGTCCAGTCATGTTTCAGGCTGACTCAACTGCAACCTTGGGCCTCTGTGTTATATTTACAAAGCTCCCAAATGATTCTGATGTAAAGCTAGGGTTGAAGACATCTGGTAAAGGAGGTCAGAACACAAGTTCTAGACTTGGACAGGTCTGAGTTCTAGGATCTGCAGCTTACCACTGTTTGACCTAAGGCAAATCACTTAGCCTCTGAGCACGTTTCTTCTGGAAAATGAAGAGATGTACACATACCAACACCTATGTATGTGTATATTCATAATCACAGATTTGGAGGGTTAGATGAGATTAGGTATATACAATGGCTGCTTACACAGTGCTTGGCATATAGTAGGTGCTAAAAGCTGCTTTTTAAATTTTTACTCTAGTTTATTCAACAAGTATGCATTCTTGACAGTGGCTTCTTTATTGATTCATTCAGTGAGTACTTCCAAGGCAGGTACTGGGCTAGGTGTCAGGAATACAGTGATGAACTATAAGCTGCCTGACTCCTGTCTGGTGGGGGTACAGATAATGAGAAATCTGGACAAATGACAGAAGGAATTGCTCTGAGGATGGGAACCCCTGTTCCCATCACAGGAGTTGACTCTGGAGACAAGTGGTTTGGGTTCCAATTCTGACTGTGCTGTTTATTAGATGCAGGACCTTAGGCAAATCACTCTGCCTTTGTGCCTCAGTGTCCACCATCTATAAAATGGGAGTAATTATAGTACCCACCTTAGAGGATTATTGTAAGGATAAAATGGTGTGTGTGTGTGGCCATAGATTAGGGCCTGGAACAAGTACCATATAAGTACTATTAGTAAAGACAAGGAAAAAAGCCTAATGTGTGCCTGGTGAGGAGGGTCAAAGACATCTTTTCCTTCTTGTCATCCATGTCCATTAACTTTTGAGTTTCTCTGATTTGGGTTATGAAAACAATAGATATACTGGATATATTTTTTAAGCTAATATGTTGACCTCATACACTTAAATCATTGCTCAGAGTTCAAGTGCCAAAACAGAGTATCTTCTGGGCAGGGCAAGGCAAGCTTATCCAGGCCTGGCCTGGAGTCCTGGGTCAGCCAGCGGGCCCGACTGAGCCTCCTCTTTCCCCACCAGGGGTTCCGGTGCTCCATCTCATCCCCACGCCCTTCCCTTCTGTCTGGCACACGCCTGACGACTCTGAGGCCAACCTGCACCCACCCACGATACACAACCTGAGCCGCATCCTTGCTGTGTTCCTGGCTGAATACCTGGGGCTCTAGCCTCCCTGGCTGACTCTGAAGGAGAAGCACCCAGTGGGGGACGTGCCAGGGGCACCTGGAGCCAGCACAGCTTAGGCTTGGCTCGCCTTGGGTGTGCTGGCTTATCCTTTTGGATACCTTCAGCTCTGCTTGTACCGTGATTGGGAGACCCTCGCTCCTTTGACCTTCTCAAGTTGTCATCCTTCAGAGAAATGGAGACCACAGTGTGGTAGAGCCAAAGGAATGTGTTTGACTCCTTCCTTGAAGGAAACACTTGGTCTGAAGATTTGCAGGGACCATGCTGTTCTGTTTTAGTCAACCATGGACTGGCAACTGGACCAGCACCACCACCCAACCAAGTGAATTCTCCTGCTACTGCTGCAGACCCAACCTAACTCACACGGATGTGCCATATGGGGTCCACAGAGGACCTGCTGGTAAGCAGGAAGAGATGAAAGCCAACGCTTGCAAACTCCAGTCTGCTGGACCCAATCAATGGGCAATATAAACCAGTATTTTCACAGACCATGTTCTGCAGAATTAGCATAAAATAGGTGTTGCATGGAAAGGGATCAAAACAGGGTGAGAAGACGTTAAATGAGTTTCTTCGTTGCACAATGTGAATTTTCGAATGTGCAGTGTTTTCCAAAAGTATTTTCTATGGAACTCCTTTACTGGGAAGCACCTCATTGAACAAGGATACCTCAGAAGGTACTTTGGGAAACACTGGATTTTGATAGTGTGAGTGCCATCTATGAAAGGAATGAATCAGACAGACCTGGATGCATTGCAAACTAGTTTTACCAGACTGTTCTTTCTCTCTCAGTTGTGGGTAGAGGAGTGCAAGATGGGTGTTAACTGCGACTCTAATGATGGCCTAAGAACAATTTCCCAACCCTCATTTTCAGACTTGACTAGGGTGCAAAAATGCAGACTCCTGGGTTCCACCGCAGACCTCCTCGGTCAGATCTCCAGGGACGGGATGGGACTCTAAGAAGCACCTGAGGAAGCCTCTTGGTCAGCAAGTTGGGGACATGCTGTCCTTATGGTTATAGTTTGGTGCACTCACAGCTGCTCGGCAGACCTACCCCGAAGACCATAAAGTGGAGGGCCCCTGGGCTCTGTGCCCGCGGTTTTAATGGAGATTCTGGTGGGCAGCAAGGATGCCAGGCCAGGATGGAGGGTTACTAAGTAGTGATGGCAAGCACTGGGCTTCCCAGCCAATGTGAGGCTGGAGAGGACTCAAGAGAATCCCCAGACTATCAGAGAGAGAGGATAAACAGAAGGTCTTCGATTCACATTCTTCCATGGTAGCTGGCATTAACTGGGCATCTGCAATTTGCCACGCACCATGAACAGTTTACATATATTAACTCATTTAGTGCCCCACCCTTAAATCCTGAAAGGCACAATTTCAGTTCTTGTTTTGCAAAGGAGGTAGCTAAGGCTAAGATTTATGACCTGGTTGTTTATTAGAGGGTCCAGATTCTCACCCACTTTACACCCGTGGCCTACCTCCCTCCCCCAAAACATCTCTGCAGGACCAACAGGCTGTTGACAAAAAGTAGCTCCTCCTGAGGCCCTTAATTGGCTGCAAATTATAGTGCATGGAGTAGGGTGACTAATGACCTATTAGGTGCAAGTGGTGGAAGTCAGGGTGCAGAAATGGAAGTTGACAGACACCAACAGCCAGAGTGGCAAGAGGGTCTCAAACCTGTTTGACAGTTCCTGTTTGTTCATTGTGGCAGGTATGGTGCTGGACACTTACAAATGTACCATCTCTCCTTAGCCTCACAGCCATCCCAGAAGTAAGTGAGACCCTCATCTGTTTTAGAGGGAAGGCCACGTGTTCACTTATACCCCTGGCCTTCTGTAACTCCCTGCAAGGTGAGTGTACTACACACCAGGCACTAAGCAAGGGGGTCTGATGCACATTTCCCCTTGAATCAGGGTAATAAGGATTGTTAGCCCCATTTTACAGATGAGGCTACTGATGCTTGGCAGGGTGGTATTTCCCCCAGCTCCCATTTGTTCCCCAAACTTGGGCTCCCCTGGCTTCATACTATGTAGGGGCCCACTAGGTGTATTTGCTAAGCACAGTCAAGCTCTCTAGGTGTGATGTCTCACACATCAATCTTTTGAAGAACTGTCAGTATTCCCATTTTTCAAATTAAGAAGCAGCTTCAGAGACATCAATTGCTTAAGATCACATAGCTGGATACTTTCACTGCAACATGTCTAGTTGTACATTTCTGTTTAGCTTGTTTATGACTCACTGGGCTTATTAGTGTCACTTATCAGTCTGGAACCACAACCATCATGTTTTTAAATATCTTTGTACTGTTCTCCTGATTCTAGAATGACAATTACATGTTAAAACTTTACTACTCTCTTCCATAATCTTTCCTTCATATTCCGTGTCTGTGCTACCTTTTGGAACTAACTCTAGTTCAGTCGGTCTTTCTTTGGTTGTATCTAATTTGCTGTTTAGCCTAGCTGTTGAAATTTTATTTCTGCTTACCATGTCTGTAGGTTTCCCTTTAATATATCCCAGGCCATTATTTAGTTCTGGGTCCCTGCAGATATTCCCAAGCTTTTGTTGTACAGGTTTCCCTTGCATCTTAAAGCTGAGAGTTTCTATGATGCTTTCCATGAAGCCAAGATGGCATAAAGCCAAGAGTATTTCCCAGCTTTCCAAAGTGCAAATTAGGGCACTTCACTTTTACAAAAGCCCTACATTAGTAGGGAAACAGCTTCTGTTAACCCTGAAACTCTTCAGATTTCTTTTGGTTAGTGAAAAGTTACAATGTAGAAGGGAAGTAAGTGGCTGTAACGAATACTTTCAGAAAATAGGGGATACCTGCATTCTAATCTGTGACTGAGTTTTACCACCTGAAGCCTCAGTGGGTCTGTTTTTGCTAGTCTCTGCTGGTTCTTGCTCATGCTCCTTTACTCCAAGCATTTGGTTATTTGACTGTGTACTACTCATTGTCCGAAAAATTTCTAGGGGTTATACTCAACAGTTCCTTCCAACAGAGGATTTATGGTTGTTACTGCCAGACATCTCAGCTAGAAGCACCCTGGAACACATGTGATGTGAACCTGGGCGACAAATCTGAGCCAAGGGCCAGCCGGTGACCGGAAATTCTCAGGGTACACTTTTTTCTTTCCCCTGCTCTGTGCTCTCCACACTGTTTAGAACATCTTCTCTGCAGTCTTCTGGGTCACCCTTTCCTGAGTTTGTGCTTTGGTGGGATCTCAGCCCCTATTAGATTCCCTACCTTGGGCAGGCTGAGGTCTTGAGTTCTGCCTGCTTGTCCCAGTAAGTCTACAAATAGAAAACCCAGGTTTGTCCACATCAGCAGATGCCCTCACAGCAAAAGTGGCTTCAGGATCCCACATATCTTCCCCTTACATTTTTGGCTTCATGTGTCCTTAACTGTATTTTACTGGCTATTTGATGCTTTTAAGATTTTTTTACTTCCTGTTTTCAGATGGAGAGTCCAAATCATCTGGTCTTCCCTTCACAGGAAACTGAAGTCCCATTAAACCAAGTCAAGATTCAAACACAGGTCTCTTTTATTCTAAAATCTAAGCATTACATAACTACTACAGTATATCCTGGTCTCTGGAAATTTTGATTCCCTGATAAGAATGTCAGAGACTTAGTTGCCTGTAAATATCCATTTTCCCCTCATCTTTTTCAACTTGAATTTTGAAAATGTCTTAATTGCTTTTATTTAGTAACTGAGTGGATATTTTAATCTTTAATTATAGTGATCTTTAGTAAAAGAGCTTTTTGCTGGGACCTAATGGATCCAGGTAGAAGACTGCATTTCCCAGTCTCCCTTGCAGCCCTTCCATATGGCTAAACTTCTGACCAGTAAGATGTATACAGAAATACAGTGTAGTACTTCTGAAAAGAAAGGGGCCTTCCTTCCTGAAAATGGTGATGGCTGGAGTTCTAGCAGCCATATTGGACCATGAGGACAAGGGCCACAACCAAAAAATGACGGACTAGTGCTTAGAAAAGGAGCCTGGGTTCCTGATGATTTCAGGGCCACCATTCCTGCCCAACCCTGGATTTCTAAAGAAATAAAAACTATCTTGTTTAAGTTACTACCATTTTAAGATTTTTGAATCCAAACTGACACAAATGAAAAGTCGTAAGTACTTCAGGCTAAGAATTCTCTCGCTCTTACCCATCGTACCACACACTGACCCATGACTCCCTTCTCTCCCAAAACCCCTCCTGGAACAACACACAAACCAGTCTGGGCCCAGCCTTATAAATATTGATTTTATAGAAAGGACCAATTCAAAATTGGTCAGATGCCACAAGCTAGAAGCTTCCAGAATCACAAGGATGAAAAAAACAAAAGAAACCCCAAACAGAACAAAAATACCCCAAACTGCCTGAAAATCAAGGTCCAGTTGACCAAAGGATTCTAAAGAAACACATGTAGCTGGGGAAGGAGAGAGACCCCAATGCCTGAACAAGTACCCAGTGGAAGGAAAAACCACCCAGAAAATCCAACCCACAGTCCCTGCCCACTGGCCCCCCACGCTGTCAAGAGCGAGGCAAAGGGCTTCACAGCTTTTTGTGGGAGAGGAGAGTGATGGTAATAGTTTAAATAATGGGAGGAGGGGAATTTTCTACTTGAACATTTTTTTTTCTCTTCCCCCTTAAGGGAAGCGGAGAGACCGGTAGCTTGAGGTTAAGGGGAAAAATACAGTGATTTTTACTGTTTCAATGGGGAAAGCATCTAGAAATGGCAGGCTGCCATGAAAAGTGCCAAATTTAATCTCTGACCTGATGCCCCCCCAATTCCTACAGGGGAGCCCTGGTGTGGTAGGTCAGGAGAGGTACCAACCTTGGGTGCTGCAGCCTTTTGGGAGGATACAGCTCCAGAGGTGGAGAAGGGGGGAGGGCACAGAAGGGGGCCGGAATGGGGGAACCCTTTAGTAGTACCGAGATTAGCTGCCGTCTGCTCCCTGCTGGTGGGTCCCTAGGGTGTAGAGAGTGGCAGGGAGGTTTTGGGGTTGAATAGAGAAGAAATTGAGATGCTGATAAAAAACACCCTACTTGAGGGTCCATGGCCCTGGGTCTGAAAAGTAGAAAACCAATAGGGGTAAGTCAATCAGAGTGCTTTCTTGGGTCACCCCCCCCGAACCCCATCTCAGTTCTGGAAGGGGATCAATGCGGCCTGGACTGGGGGTATAAGCTGGTGACCCAGTCCTGGCCCTTGACTCCCAGGGAGAGGGGGCGGGGGTGGGCATGGTGGGCTCTCCCCCCGCCTCCCCCGGCTTCACCTACCCTCCTCCCGGCCAGTCCGGCCCCCACCCCCACCCAGTCCATTGCAGGGCAGCACCCAGTTGTTATCGTGCAGACCCAGGCGGCAGCCAGGTGTCTCACGATCGGCTCTGCGGCAGCACATCCAGTAGGAACGTCCATAAGGCAGGTCATGGTGGTAGGGCTTGGGGTGCCAGCGGCAGAGCGACACATCGCCCTTCTCATATCTCTTGCGGCACTGCTTGCAAGGGTCATCCCGGTACAGTGGGTCTCGGCTCCAGCGTGAGTCTGTGGCACGCACACCAAATGCCTCGATGATGCCCTTGAAGTGGTGGCAGGTGCACTTGAGGGCAGCCAGGGCCCGTGTGGGCAGGAAGCTAAAGATCTTGACCAGCACATGCTCGGGCAGCAGCAGCATGTACTGTCTTGGCTCCAGCAGCCGCTGGATCTTAAAACGGATCTCCAGGAAATCATGCGACACGTGCCGGTACAGGCGGCATAGGGAGGTGTCCGCTGTCCCCTCTGCATCGTCCGGGCCCGGTGCAGTGGTTGGTGAGTCAGCTGGGGGTGGCTCCGGGGGCCCATCTGGCCCACGGGACTGGAGGAAGAAAAGCTGGCCAGGTGGGGGTGGCTCCTCAGGGCTGACAGTCAGGCACACTGTCTCCTCCTTCACGTTCTTGGTGCCATCCTTGCCAAAGAAGATGCACTCGTCCACCACGCCTGTCACCACCACATCCACGTGGAAGCCTGATGCTCCGCAGTCCCGGGCAGGGGGTGGAGGGGGAGCTGGGGGAGTGTCCTCGGGCCTGCCAGGGGCTGGGGTCTCACCCTCACTGGCTTCATCCGCCCTAGCCAGGAGGAACTCCACGTTGCTGGGGAGGGCGTCACGAGAGGGGCTGATGAGCTGGTATAGGTCGCAGGTGATCTTGTCCTTGGCTCGGGTCCCAGGACCTGGGCTGCCAGGGTAGGCACAACCGGGCCGGCCCCCGCTCCCATTGGGCAAACTGCCATCTGGTGCCCGGGGCTCTCGGCCATTGGAGATACGGAAGGCGATACGTACCTCCCCAGGGCCTGGCCCAGGCCTCTCCTCCTTGCGGAGGCCCTTGGCTGGAGGGTTGTCCCGCTGGGCCTCAAAGTGGGCCACTGCCTCTGCCACACGGTTGCAGTCCCCACCACCAGACCGCCGTTCAGACCCCAGGCCCTTGGCAGGCCCACCCTGCTCAGCTGACACAAAGACCACAGGGGCTGGGGTGCCAGGGCGCGGGTAGTTCTGCAGGGCCAGGGCAGCCCGCTGTTCCACCAGAGCCACCATCTCGGCCACGGAGAGCAGGTCTACGTCCTCACAGGCTGAGGCTGGGGCCCCCTCAGCAGCAGGGGCCCCCTCCCGGCCCCCTGGGTCAGGTGGAGCCTTGGTAGGCTCCAGACAGCGCCTCCTTCGCTTGGCCTTGGAGCTGTCACTGCCCCAGTGCCCCTTGACCTTCATGGAGCTGGCCCGGCTACCCCCACCACACTGGTGGGCCACAAAAAAAGCCACCTTCTCCTTTGTATTTCCAGGCTTGATAACATACCATGTGTCCAGCAGGACTCGACCCTCATCGCCAGCAGCTGCTGCTGAGAGGAGAGGGGCAGGCTGGGAGGCTGGGGCCTCAGTGGCCAAGGCGGGCGGCGTGTTCTCTGAGCGAGCAGGCCCATGGTCTGGCTCAGCTCCACTGCCTGGCTCAGGGCAGGCTGAAGGCTTGAGGGCCGCGGAAGGTGGGCGTGGCTGGTTCTGTGAATAGGTGCCAAAGGGCCGGGGACACCACAGCTGGAAGGGCAGGAGGCCACCACGGTCCATTCTGGGGAATGGCAGCCGAAGGCAGGAATGTACTGCCTCTCAGGACCTGGATGGTAGTGGGGGGCTCCAAAGGCCACCTGGAGACAGGAAAAGGAGGTTGGGGAACAGCTTGCCCTCTCAATACCACTCCAACCTCAACTGCTCCTGAGGGGACAGACCAAATTAGATCACCAAAGACTCCATTCCTGCTCCACCGCAGAAGTGAGTAAATGGAGGGTTGAAGAGATGGGATGTGGTCTTTAAATACCTAGAGCACAACCAGAGCTGGCAGCTTGCTCCAACCCTACAGGTCATACCCCACTCACAATTCAGAACTTAAGTGAAAGTACCAACTGACAGGCAGCTCCTCCTTTTCCTATTTGCTCACCCTGTAGGCAGTTCCTGAAAAGGCAAGAATTCCCAGCCCTGCCCACGGCTATGGCTGCTTGAGCCCACACAGGAAGGAACGAGGTGGGGTGGGTGGGGGAAGAAAATATGGGGTCAGAGCCAGATAGGCCCTTAAGAAACTGGCTCTTCACTTTGTTCATGGGGTTCCTTGATAATCTCAAAGTTGCGCATCCTCATCCAGAAAAACGCACACACTTGCACAAGACTGTGCAGGTAATTCTCTTCAGCATAGCCACAAATCCCTGGGATAAGAAGGCCTGCTAGTCTAGCCTCTTCTTCAAGTTGTACACAGGGAAACTGAGGCTCAGAGAAGGGCAGGGTTACACGGCACAAAACCAGGCCCTCCAACTTGGGTTTCTCCACTTTTCAATTCAGGGCTGTCTTATAATGACCATTTTATTTTGCAATGGCTATGTGTGCATGAGCTAATCTGCAGGCAACCGTGTTAAGGAGTCTGACATGATCACTTTCTACTACAGGACCAACAAGTGGCACATCTCTCAGTCTCAATCCTTCCCTGCTCATCTCCCTCCACACATCCTGAAACCAAAATACCCTCCAAACCTCGAACCTTCCACAAGCCTATAGACCAGGGGTCAGCAAACAATGGCCCACGGGCCAAATCTGGTCCACTGCCTGTCTTTGGATATTAAGTTTTATTGAAACATGCTCATCTGCTTATAGTTACTTTCATGCTGCAATGGCAGAATTGAGTAGTTGCAACAGAGAACATATGGCTCTACAAAGCCTACAATATTATTTGGACCACTATGGGAAAAGTGTGCTGACCTCTGCAATACAGACTGTCTCTCTAAATTCAGGCAATTCCACAGATGACATTAAAACCCCATCACTTCATGGTCCTGTAGACACCATTCAGCATCTAGATGGCCTCCAAACACCCACAGACATCGGTCACAAAGAGAATCCTAACCCTAAAAATCCTGAGCCCCCATAATCCCTAATCCTACCTATCCCTCAAATATTTACAGCCCCTGCTGAAATCACTTTCTTGTTAGACAAATCATACAGCTCCTAAAACTAAGTTTTTGGCTAAGTTTACCAACCACCAATACATCTAAATGTCCAGGAATAGATGCTAACACAGCAAAGGCCATTTTCTGTAGATCCTATTACTCTATAATTGGCCACCCTTGAATTCCCCCAATCAGTTCCTACCCTTATCTACAGAATATCAGTGCCCCCCAAAATGCCCCGACCCTTTCAAATCCTACGTCAAACCTCCAAACTTATAAATAGCCCCTCCAGCATGGAAAGCCCCAATCTCATGGGACCCCTCACAAATCTCATGCCCACCAACAACTCCAATACACACGGCAATTTCCCAACTACACAGATGCCCCAAACGACCAATTTCCTGAAATCCTATGCTCACCTCTGAACCCCGACATGTGTTCTCTTAATTCCACAGAAGCCCTCCAACCACAAAATAACTCACTGAAACATAAAACCTTCCTAACACATAAGACCAATTCCAAACTTTGTAGGACCTCCCCAAATACTCCTAAAGAAACCTCACAAGTGTTGTAATAGTAGACACAAGCTCACTGCATGCTCTCTGTGAGCTTATTAGGTACTGTGCCAGCAATTCCTCCTAACCTTCCCTGGTTCCTGTGAAGCAAATGGTGTATTAGTGTCTCTGTGCCCAGATGAGGCACAGAAAGGCTGAATCCCAAATCTGGCGTCAGACAAGGTGGAAAAAAGCCCAGGCATTCTGGCGCCATAACTGGTACTCTTGGATTCTTCACTTCTAACTCTCTCCGTGAGCTCCCCAAATCATGTATCACCAAATATCTGGAACCACAAAGGAGACCCCTACAGCACAACAGAACCTTCCACGACAAAAAAAACCAAACAAACCCAAACCTCAAGGGAACCCCGAGTATTCCCTACACCTACACAAACATTTCCCCAAGCCCAAATACATCGCTTAAATGCAAAGGGAACCCCCAAATCTTATAAATCCCCCCAGAATCCGCCAGTCCCACACAAGCGACCCTCGAAGCCTAGACACGCCCCTAGAGCTCCCTCACGCGCGAGCCCCGCCCCCTGCTGCGGGAGTGCTGGTGGCACACATGCGCAGACGAGAGAAGAGAGCCTGCCCCGCCCTCGCTCCTTTCCTCAGGCTGTCGCGCGACTAGTTTCCCCCCCGCCCCTTTGTTGACAGACGCGCGCGTGTGACACTTCCAGCCAATGAGCGGCTGCCGTTCGGGGCCGTGCCCATATAAGGAAGGCCTTGGCGAAGGGGCCCAACTTCGAAAGAGGGAGGAGTAGGCGAGAGGTGACGGAGAGGGTGTGGAAACAGCAGAGTGTAAGAGAACGTGGAACAATTCCTAACTTCCAGCTAAACGGAAGAACAAAGCCAGGACAGAGGCCACGGCATTCAAGGAGAGGTTATTACATGACATTCCCTCTAAACAAGCCACGATTGACAGTTGAGATTTAAAGGGCTAAGCAGCTTGGGGATTGAAGACTCCAGGGCGGAAGGAAGCGAGCAGAAAGATCTGAAAGCTTTGCTTGGGAACCCTGGGGGCCGAAATTTCTGGCAGAAGGGAAATGTCAGTGGGATCACCTCACCCTGAAAAACAACTGGCAGAACCCTGCGAATGGCTCCAGTGGCACCGAGTCTAAGCCTCTGGGCCTGGCATTCAAGGCTCAAGCCATGTGACCAAAAGGACCTCTCCCTACAGCCTTTCTAACCAGGCGCCCCAGATCCGACTCAGATTTAGTACAGGAAAAGAATATGAAATAACTCAATAATGATCTTTGAATGCTGATTACCTGTTACAGTGATAATATTTTGGATGTATTTTAAATAAAACTAATTTTATCATCTCTTTTTGACTTTATAAATGTGGCTACTAGATTTTAAATTTCACATACGGTTTGCATTATTTTCCACTGAACAGCACTGGTCCAGATCCCTCCAATGCCAGGTCTATTCATGAGACACACAAAGTTGGCTCTGCTGCAGGTACCTATCTGGGCATCACCTATATCCCCCACCACTTTTCCCCAGCCTTGTCTTCTTCCGACCATGCCACAATCACAGGCAGAAGGGTCTTCTTCAAGTATAAACCTGACCCTGTTCCTAACCTGCCCAAAACCTGCCATGGCTCCTCAGTGCCTTGAGGAAAAGCCCAGGTACCCCATTGCTCCAGCCTCAGTCCTCCCCACTCCTCCACATCCTCAGTGCGCCAGGCAGGCACCCGATCTGGCATAGAGAGTAGACACTCAGGCCCTGTCTAATCTTCAGTAGCTGCTGTCATCCCTGTTGCATAGATTAAAAAAAAAAAAAAAACAGAGGTAAGACAGGTTGCCTAACCAGCCCAAGGTCACAAAGAACTGTTGTGAGTTGGAGAAGGGATATAAGCCCAAGGAATCTGATTCCAGGTCACTGTGCTCTACTGTTTCACTATATATTCTTTGGGGTCTCAGCTCAGCCATCCCCTCCTCCAAGAAGCTAACAACCCCCTGACTGCCCCTGCCCTCAGGCTCCACCTATGGCCTCCCACACAGACCTCCTTGTTTTCTATTCCTCAGAATCACCAAGCTCTTCCTTTAAATGGTCTTTGCATTTGCTGTTCCTGCTAAATGGAATGCTTTTCCTCAGATCTCCACATGGATTAATTCCTTCTTTAATTAGGGTCTTTGCCTAAATGTAACCAGAACAGAGAGGACTTCCTTGAGCTCCCTTCCTGGAAACCTTCCACCTGCCCAGAGGGGAACCTCTGTGATTCCAGGTCCTGGCCCCGCCCACTCTGAGTCATCAGTGTCTTGGGCTGGATCTGTCTCCACAGGATGTGCAGCCCAGGGAAGAAAGAAGGGAGGAAGGGCCAAAGCTATCACCGTCATCAGTGTCCCAGCGGCACTGCCCAGCGTGAGACTGAATGGATCAAAGCTCCCTTCCCTGTGGCCCTGTGGCCTAAACTTCCATGTGGCAGTGTAAAGTCTGCTTCATACCTAGGTTCTGTCTGTGTCCTAGGTCACTGGGGCAGAATTTTCTCACTTCCCACACACTGAGCCCAGCACAAGGCCCTATATTAGGTCAGCTTTCACAGAGAGCTCCATGAAGATCCATTTATTGTAAAACATCATGACCCAGAAAGACTGAAAATGAAAAGATGGAAGAACACTGATCAGGTAAATATAAACCAAGAGAGAAGTAGAGGAGCGACATTACCACTTAAACAAAAAAACTAACAAAAGGAAAAGGTATTATTAAAGACAAAGATGGTGGCAGAACAAACTGATCCATTATCCACAAAAGTTCTCAAGATACATGCTCCTAATACTATGGCCTCAAAACGTATGAAGCAAAAACAGAATGACAAAGAGAGTTTGGCAAATTCACAACTGTAACGGGAAGCCTGAACTTATCTTTCCAAAAGAGATCGACTGAAAAGATAAAATTAGGAAGGACCTGAACCACACAGTCAACACACTTGATGGAATGCCCCCAACAATTAAAGAATCCAATTTTACATCCTGAGTCTTAACATTCAGAGGTCCTCCTGTGTGCTGGCCCTTGGTTGGTACTGGGGACACAGAGATGACACTGAGCTCACCAGGAAGAGCTCATGGGAAACGGGGCAGACATCCAAATAAACAATCATGACCAACATGAATATATTAGAGAGAAAATGATGATCACAACAGCAGTTAACACTTGAGCATTCAATGTGAGCCAGGCTTTGCTCTGAATGCTTTACAAATATTAACTCACTTAATTCTCACATCATTTCACTATTTTTAAATATCATTTCAAAGATTAGGAAGTGGAGGCGTAGCATAACTAATTGTCCTTGGACATGGCTATGGCAGAGCTTTGAGCCAAATGAGCTGGGCTGACTCCAGAAAGCAAGGAGTTCATGAAGCTCAAGCAACTTCATTTATTGAGGGTATCGAGCACTCCCGATAGATCATTTTTTCGGTCCTTAAGGCCTTTGCACTCTCCGTTCACCTTGCCTAGAATGCTCTTCCCCAGGTATCCACAGCGCTTGGCCCCTTACCTCCTCAGTTTTGTTCAGAAATCAACTCTCTACACCTTCCTTGATATGAAACTGCAGCTCTCCACCAACACCATGTACCCTCTCCTTCTCTGACTTAGTTTTCTCCTTAGCATGCATTATTATCTAATATACTATAAACATTGTTTATGAAGTTTATTGTCAGTCTCCCTTCATTAAAATGAAAGCTCTGCTAGGGCCAATATTTTTGTCTAGTTTATTTCACTGCTATATCCCCAGCTTTTAGAACAGCACCAAGCACTTAGCTGCTGGAAGTGTGGTCCCTAGAGGCACAGCCTCTGGGAATGTGTTAGAAAGGCAACCTCAAGCTCTGCCCTACCCCTACTGAATCAGAATGTGCACTTCCACAACACCTCCAGAGGATTCACATGCACATTTAAGTTCGAGAAGCGATGCTGTAGCACATCATAGGTGTGCAATGCGTATTTGTTTGAACAAATTCCTAACACTGCCATGCTGTCCACCTTCTGCATATTTGCTACTGGGGACCTCCTGTGAAAAGCTGGCTGGTTCCAGCCAAGGCCAACTGTGGAAATCCTGCTCCCAGGACTGAAGCCAGATGCCACCTCCTCTAGGAGCATCCCAGTGCCCTCCCAAGTTATGCAGATCTCTTCCTCCTAAGACCTCCTGTTGCATCGCCTGTCACCTGTCACTGCAGAATGACAATGACCTGGATGAGGGCTTCTTCCTCCTCTACTCTGTGAGTTTCTGGAAGGCTGGGACCTCCCCTCAAAGGCACAGCTGGTCCAGCCTCCACACTTGGCTCACTGGCCTAGTTTAGCTGTTCCTGCTTCATCCTTTCCATGGTAGCCAGAGAGATCTTTCCAAACACAAATCGGACCATATTACTCCCTCGCTTAAAATCCTTCCATGAGAGATGCAAGCTTGTAAAACAAAACATGTCCACAAACCCTTTCTCAGGAAGCTACTGGAGATTTGCTTTACCAAAATGAAGCAGTAAACCAAGAAAAGGGAAGTTATCAGATCATGGAAATAAGATCTAGCCCAAAGAGAGGCAAAAGGACTCCCCAGATGAAGGTAAAGGGAGCGTCTAGGAGGACAGCTGTGCAGGACTGCGGACAGCCTGCCTTCATAAATGAACAAGGAAAGGAAGGGCTGACAGCTAACAAGGTGAGTGGCAACGTAAGCTGGAAACATCAACAACAACAGAACAAACCAAAGAGAAGGAAGGACATGATAAAAAGCAGAGGCCTGACTCAGATGACCCACCAACCTTGGGGAGCCTCTGGCTCCCCAGGGTCCCGGCTATCAGGGCCACACCCGGCATGGGCTGGGCCCAGAGCAGGTGCTCAGGGAATGAACTTGCCCAGTCACCCAGGAATCATGGCGGGACACCACGGCTCTATTCCTGGTCCTGCACCTCTTGCCCTCTTGGCCCTGCCACTCCTGGTACCACTGTATCTACAGTCTTGATTCATCCATACCCCTTTCTTGGCTTTTTGGTCCCCGGGTCTGCTGGCCTCTCTCCCTCTCAAGCTTTCCTTTCTAATAGTTCCCAAATGGTAGGAAGCTTCCAAATCTCCAGGAGCTAGAGGTCCAGGATGCAGACAGAATCCAAGCAGGGCCTGTGGGCACCCCAGCTTTCCCACTTCTGGGAATGTGACTGTAGGCAGGGTACTTCATCTTCTGTGCCTCCGTTTCCCCCCACTAAAAAATGCAAATAGTAACAGGATCTGCCCTTGGGCTGGTTGACAATTTACAGAGATCAAACTAGTAGAGCACTAGGGGCCAGCTGGGCACTGAGAAGCAACTCAATATCCAGGTGCTGTGACTATTAAGAAAAAGTTAGACTACCTGAAAGTTTGAAAATCAGTACTGAGCCGAAGACTTTTCCCCTCTTCATTTCACATTCTGAAATTAAACGTATTCTAGTCCCTCAAAATAACCAAAATACAGCAATTCCTTTGTTACTGTTGGGTATTGGGTCTCACCTATTAAGTAAGCAGATATTTACAGAGCAGCTACCGTGTGCCAGGCTGTTCCCAGCATCAGGGATATTCAGGGAATAGGAGACAGAAGTCGTTGTCCTCACTGCACTGATATACTAACTGGAGAGAAAGAACAATAAATATGTAGTAAGTTTCAAGGTGGCAAGTACTATGGGAAAACAAACACAGCAAGTAAGAGGGACTGGGAGTGAAGGGGGTGTTATGACCTTAATGGAGGGATCAGGACAGCATCACCGAGCAAGTGACAAGCCAAGCCTTATAGAAAACCTGTGCTTGTAGAATAATAGAGCTTTACCAGAGCCGCTAGAAATGGTAAAAATATCACTTCACATGAGTAAGCTTCAGACAAGTACAGGCTGAAAACATATTTAAGATTTTAAGAAAAGGCAAAATAATTTGGAAAGCAGACACATTCTCAAAGACAAAGATGGAAAAGGAAGAAAAAAAGTGTCATATTATGCCCCAGGCACCCAGATGTGACATACAGGAACAAGGATGAGTGAGAGGTTGGCAACTTTCCCCCAAACCAATCCGTTTTTAGGCAATTCGCTGGGAGCTAGAGACAAAGTGTTAAAAATCCACTGAAGTCATAACAGGCAGGCAAAGCTAGCATGAGGGGCTGAAGATATCCATCAGTAACAGAGAAACCCAAACCTGAAAAATGAGCACCAATGCCACAAGAGCCGCAAAACTGGTCAGCTTTGTGACAACAGCGAGCTCCCCACAGGCGGGCTGTCAGCCCACACCTGGTACAGGCCCTGGCACATAGTAGGTGCTCTTATCAACATATGGGACTACTCAAGAAGTGAAGCCCTGTTTTCCAGAAAAGGAAGCTGAGGTCCAGAGGAGTTAAGTGACTTGGACAAAGCCATACAGCTGGTGGGTGATAGAGCCAGGATCCATTATCTGGGTCTTCTGGTTCCAGAATATGCTCAATAAGTTTTTCTTCAAAGGATGAAAATCATCAAAAGACCTCATATTTATTGAGAGCTTCATATGCACTAGGCATTTTATATGTTACCTCATCAACTCCTTACAAGAGTCTCGTGGCTGGGTTGTGGCCCAATTTTACATATCAGAAAACCGAGGACCGGAATGGGAATGCAACTTGGCTAAGGACAGAAAGCAGCCAATGGAGGGACGTGTACCTGCGTCTATCTGATGTCAGTATTTTTAACCATAAGCTTTGTCTTATCCAGAGGCAGAGAATGTATGTGATAAACTCCAGGAAGCCTCAGATCAAATGAACCAAACTGTTTCAAGATGAATTACACTGTTTCAAGATGAATTACAAAGTTGCCAAACTACCTGTGAGGCTGGAGTGACCAAAAGGTTGGGACTGGGTGGGGCTGGTGGGGGAACAACTGTTAGAAATATTTCCTATTTGCTGAAATACCTGGAGTTGGGCCAGGATGGGCACCGACAAATGAATTATTTATATTTGGCTGGGGATAAGGAGGGAAATGGGGACAGACTGAGTTTCTAAGCACCCCCTCAGGGAACTACCCATACCCTGGGAGCCCAGGGATGGTAGGGTAGGGAACTAGAAAAGTCAGGATATGGGGGTGAACTGGGAGAGAGAAGAAAGGGGGCAGCCTGGCTGATGTCTCCCTTGCTGGTCCCTCTCTACTGCCTCCTTTCCTAGATCTAAATTTCCCATTCACGCTAAAAAAAAAATCACAACTCACATGCACTGAGCACTTACTTACTCCAACCACTTTATGCGCTCACCTCCCCGAACCCTCTAAACTTCCTATGGTTACTGATCCTGCTTTATAATTGAGAAGAGGCCAAAAGACTTGCCCAAGGTCACACAGCAAGCATACGGCAGAACTAAAACCCAAACTGAAGACTGCTCAGTTCGTGAGTCTTTACCATTGTATTTTCAATACAAGGAGAAGGGACTAAATGACATTGGTGAAAGCACAGAATCTGAGCCAGAATGTTTAGGTTAGAATCCTGAGTCTACCATTTAATTTAATACTGGATGACCTTGGGAAAGTTAAGTTCTCTGTGCCTGTGCTTGCTTCCTTTCTGTAGAATGGATATTAATAACAGCACCTACACCTTAAGGATGTTCTCAAATAAGTTAGTACACACAAAGATCTAAGAACAGGGCCAGCTCTTCCTTAAACGATGTTAGCTGTAATCCACTGTGGGGAGCCCCTGCATGCTTCAGAGCTGGGGTGTACTCAGATCAGTTCCAGGTTTTGAGAAACCACCTTTGGGGCTAGACTGATAAGGAAGGAATCCATTAGCACCTGTGACCCAGTCACATTCCTGGGGTGGGGAACTTACTACTAGCAGCTCTGAGACTGAGGACCTATTTCCAGCTAGGGTAACAATCTCATATAGCCTCTCCTCAGTGATGACATGTGTTCCCACAGTATGGATAAGAGCACTGAGTATCCGAGAAGGGAGACTTGCCTGGATCACAAAGGAGTGGCAGAATAAGAGATCTGAAAGCCGGACTGCCCACACATATAACCACTCCACTTTTCTAAATCCCACTGGAGAAATGGGAGTGCAAACGGTTGTCTCTACGGTCCCTCTGGCCATATTATCTTACAGTTCTGTGACTGTCCAGCTTATCCGGAGTCTCTGGCTGGACCAGGCAAACTATGGCTACATCCAGGCCCCGAAACTCATGCTCCCCAACCCCACCCCCAGTCCTGGAGCCTAACCCACACAACCATTCTACCACTGATTTTTCTCACACCATCTCAGCTTGCCCTCCCGCCCCCAAACCAATCCAGAGGCCCCAACCCACAGCACCCACAGCTGGCCTCTCCCTCAGAACCTCCGGAAGCCCTCATTCATGCAGCCCAGACCCCTATGTCTTTCCACCTTCCCCAGGCTAAACCCCTCGAAACTGGGCCTCTGCCTGGACGCCAAGCCCTTTCTCCAACTCCGGACTCCCTTCCCCAGATCTGAGCTCCCTTACAAACAATTCCAACGCTCGACTCCGTCTCCCACCTCCAAGACCCCTCCCCAAAACCTATTCTTCTACTGCTCCCTCCAGCTCCGTCCTCCCAATCCCCGCCCCCAAGCGATCTCCCCTCATCGAGCCCCTTCTTAGCCCCTGCCTCTTCCTTCTTCCCACCGCGTCCCGAACCCCCGCCCCGGTTCTCCAGCGCCCCCAGCCCCCGCTGGGCGTTCTCACCGTCTCCCCGCGCGGTAGCTCCCTCGGCTACGCGGGTTTCCCCCACTCGCTCCTCTTCTGCCTCCCCTTCCGGGTTCCCGCCCCGAAGCCCGCTGGGAATTGGAGTCCGGGCGGCCACGAACTACACCTCCCAGAAAGCAGCACTGTCAAGGTTGAAGGTGGGGAAGGAGGCAAACTGAGCCGGCTGAGGAAAGAACGACTCTACCTCCCAGGAGGCGGAGAGGGCGCCCCCGCCTGGCGTGCTGGGAGATGGAGTCCAGCCTCCTCCATTTTGGCCCCCGGTCCTTGTAAAGGAACCAGAAAATTGCGCAGGGGCGTTTGTGACGGGTGGGGAGTTGGGAAAGCAAGTTTGTTGATTTACTTGTGTTGATTAACATAATAGTTAATCAACATAAGCAAAGCTTTCGCAAACTTTTCATTGCTTCTCTCCCAACCTGATTTTCTTATCACTAAATCCCCTGATTCGCAAAAGAGAAAATTAAGCCTTAGGAAGGGGAGGAAAGGAACTTGTTCCACGAACAGGGAACTAGTCCACATCATAGAATAAAAGCTCTACGAGCACAGGCACATTTGTATATTTTGTCCAAGCACCCAGAACAGTGTAAATAAGTGTTGGGTAAATATTTATTTCATACTAACTATATGCCTGAGACCCCGCATACAACCCTGGTAAGAATTATCCTAAATTTTTAAGTTAAGCAGAAAGAGATTAGGTCATTTCTCCATGGCAACACAGCAAGATGCTGATTTGAACTGGAGTGTGTTGGACGCCAGAGATGCTACTCTCCACTCCGTCGCTAGATCGCTTCTCCTTATTTTCCAGTCCATCCTCCTCACGGGTCGTTAATAAGCTTTCTAAAATGGAGAGTTCGCTATATCAAGGAACATACACCGTTGTGAAAGGACTTGTTATTAAGGCCCGATTCCGATGGCCTTCTTCTTTTAATCTTCTCTCAATTTCTGGCTCTTTAATACAGCTCTGCATCACTAGATTCTCACAGCGCGTGAGCCTTTCCGACTGCCTTGGGAAGACCGCGCCTAAATTCCCAACTTTCAGCTTGGTGCTTGGCACGCAGTAGGCCTTCCTTAGATAAGCGCTGAAGGGAAAAGATTGGAAGGGCACACACGAGGGGTAGAAATTGCACGCACGAGGGCCGGAAGAGAGACTCCCGAGAGTTGGCCGTTGAGGAGACTCCGCCTCCTCATTAGGAGCCACCCGGACAGGGGAGGGGGCGTGGCCCTCCGAAAAGGCGGGCAGGAGACTGAGCGCTGATTGGTCAGCACTTTGGCGCGCACGAGCAGACGCCTAGCTAGGAGGCGCGAGGCCAGGCTCACGCTATGCTAGAAGACTGAGGCCCGTCCCTTGGCGCGCATGCGCACAGCCACTTGCTTCTTGGTCCTCTCCGCTCCCCAGTCTCCCGTCCAGCTCACCCTGGTGGGACCTGCTGGGGGCGCAGCCTGCCTGCCGTCAGGGCTGCTCTCTTGCTCTTCTCCTCAGGCTTCGCGCTCAGGAGCCTCGCGCCGAGGGGATTCGCACCCACCCCCGCGCCCAGACCAGGAACGCGAGACGCTGTCTGATCAGGCTCCCAAGTTGTTGGGCTGATGTGAAACCAGAAGTGGGGGGACTCACGCCATTTTGCACTTTCCAAGGCGGGTGCTGAGGCTGAGGGGAATGGGGCGGGGGACACCCTGGCCCTAGCCGGCTGTAGGGGAGCCTGGGGACCACTCTGGAGTGGCACTTCCTGGCACTTTGTGGCCCTGGCCCTGGGGGGTTTCAGGCAGGCAGAATGCGGGTGTGCCCAGGGTGCTCTGAGCAAGGCAGGATGGGGCAGCAGAGCCAGGCTTTGGGTTTGAAGCTGGGACTAGGTTTTGGGATCCGGGCTCAAGTCAATATGGAAGGCTCTGTCTGAAGAGCGTTGAGGATTTGGGGTCACAAGGTAGGTTCCAGGGTCTCAGGATTTGTCTGGGTATCACTAGTTTTAGAACCTGAAGGTCTTGGGTTTTCTGACTGGTAGCTTTCCTTTCAGAATCTGGAGATCCTCATTTTGGGATCTGGAATCTTAGCTTTGAGTTCTGGGGTATCATTTTGGGGGCCTGGGGCCTCGTTTGGGGGGACTGAAGCCTCAGTATAGATTTAGGTATGAGGTATAAGATTTAGGGTCTGGAGTCACAGTTTGGGGCTTTGAAAATAAGTTTTAGGGCCCTGAGTACCCACACTGAGTATGGCGC